CTCTTCTCGCGCTCCCTTCGCTCCGCCACCAGAATGGTTGTAATCTCATGCTTACGATCTTCAGCTTGCAGCATACTATGGTGGGCTGCATGGGCAATGTTGTTGAATATTGTATGTCTCTTCCAACCCTGAAGTGAGTTTGAGTGATACCCCCATTCCGCACCTTGCAGTAGATGTTCTTGGTATCGCAGCTGACGAATAGTTGTTGGTGTACTGGATTGGGTCATCTCTTCTGCTGTTAGGCGATCTAGATGACCTGGTGGAGGTAAATCTTCCTGGGGCTCACAGTGTGGAGTATGTGGTGGGCTATTTGGATTAGGGATATTGTATAATACAATATCTTTATCAAAAGGTATGAGTGTTAGGCATATGGAAAAAAGGGCCAAAGTTACCCGGCCTTTACATAGGATTATTTCTACCATACCCCTGCAGCCCCCATGTAGGGACTGGGCGTCATTACGATATTACGGCCGAGTTGTGTCCCGACACTTTAGCCACAATAAATGGCACCTTCAGCATAGCACCATATACGTCGTCGCCGTCCGTCGGACCGGATGCTGTCCGTAGGATATATGAGAGGGCACCTTGGCGACTCATGTGAAGTGACTTGGAGGAATTTGGTTAAGTTTTGAGCAAGCTATTACCTTGTAAATTAGCAGTTAAATATTATGGCTGATAAGTGATGGGACGATTTGGGAAGAAACCTTAGTGACCGAATATCGTGAGCCTATGGCACCGACGGGTAGCCATAGAGCCGAGCCTCTTGCTTTGAAAGAAGTAGTGCCCCAAGAGGGCCTACTCGAGAATCGGTATGAGAGGTTTTCGCTGGATAAGCTATTGGCTCGATCCAGAGCAAAAAACCCTATATATCCGATGGGCCTTGTGATGCATCAATATGCAACACAATGGCCGTGCTCATTCAATAAAGCTGATCACTTTATGTTTTGAGGCGGGACAATTGGTATAGTTGCCATTAGGGCGGCATACTCAAATTAAGTTCATATAGTGGAGAGATCGAAGGCTACCTACTGGAGGGGCATTCACACCCCCCAGAAACAATAGGAGTCTGAAGAGATCAAAGCTAAGCAAGGCAAATATTCTCAGGGTCAAGAGTGTTCGCACTTAGGAAAATTAAGAGGTTTTCAACGGAGGTACTTAGATAGTATGGGAGTTGAATATAGCCCGCGATAACCCAGACGCGGAATATAAATATCGAGGTACTCCCAGCTATCAGAATCATCAAGCAATGGAGAAGAGATCTTATTAATATATTTATTAACTTACTCTTGAAAAAACTTTATTACACCTATCCCTTTGAACCTTCGGGAAATACGAGCCTACCTTAATGATCTTCGTTTTATTTTACCTTACCTTATTTCAAGAAGCTTATGGCTTAGACCTACCGGCCCTATCTACGGTTGGACTACCCCATAATAATGAGGCCCGTATTCCGAAAAGCGGATAGTATGTTCGTCGCTGTAAACGATCGTTGGCGTGCAAGGCTAACTATTTTGAAAAAGTTTTCTTTCCCCCCCCCCCATTCCTGCCGAGCCCATCGCTGCCATATCTCTTTCCGATAGAAATGCTTATAGGAGCTAAATATTGCAACATCTAGGGGTTGCAAGCAGTGTGTTGTATGAGGCGGAAGGCAAAGTGAAATAACCTTATTATCTAGGCAATAGCTTAAAAATTGAGAATTTACATGCGAGTTGTGCCCATTGAAGATAAGTAACCTGTACTCCTCTTGAGCTTTTACTGCTGACTCGCTATCAGGTCCAAAGTTTCATTTTAGGAAGCGGGCACCCATCTTTTCATCTGTCCAGCCATTTGGTGACTTGCCAAACAGGGTACGTGGGGGGACTCCGTGTAAGTTTTTAAACCATTCTGACTGAAACTCTTTCGCTTTTAATATGATGCAGGGTGCTTCGAGTGGGGTCCCATCACCACATATTCCTTCAATAACTGTAGCGAACTCGTGGGTTCCATCTAATTTAGCTTTAGTTTTTTTTCTTATTACTATCATGTATTTAATTTTAATATTACCTTGATTTGTGTAAATAAGAGAACCATTCTGACATGGATGCCGAATAACTTCAATTACTTTTTCCGAAGCTCCAAGACCCATGAGGAATCCAATCTCATCGATGTTGTAGGTATTATGAGGCTGTATAGCAAAATCCTGAACAATCTCCCCATACTATTAACATTTCATACGTTAATAACAGACTTTCATAGCGTCAGAAGCTTGATAGTAGCATACTGTATCAAAGAAGTTACTTAGTAAATCCTTGTTGTTTGCACAAAGCCGCCGTTTATAGTCCAACTGTTTACTAAATTTTGATTTAACCTCTGGGTGCCGATGGTAGAAACTATCTTTTACCCAATATTTACCTAGTGTTCCCTCTGGTACACGTTGACGGTAGAGATGCTGGGCATGCTTGTGCACATCCTCCACAGTAACAGGAAATCCACATTTTCCCAGGTGCTCACATCACTCCACGACGAATTTTTCTTCCTCTGGTGTCAGTTTTTGGAGTTTTTGACCTGCCTCCTCTCTTGTACCTCTACCAAGTTGTCAGTGCCGTAAGGTTGAAGGCTTTACACCAACCATGCTAGCAGCAGATTGTGATGTGGTAGCTATTCCTCACTGTAAGAGATCAATTCCCATTTGCTCGCAGACTTGTAATGGAAATTCATGCATGATTGGTGACTGATTTCGTGATTCAGGCTCTGAAGTTAAAGAAGACATGGTAAGATAATGAGAAGCACTATTGTGAAAATGTTTGCTCTGTAGTACAGACTAAAGATACAGCAGTTTCTGAATTTAAATTATGCTTTTCATCCTTTTGACTAAACTTTGACTAAACATTTCATCATTCAGTATCAGCCAAACCCAATTCCCTGCGCCGCAACCGCCATTGACTAGCGCCTGTGTTCGCTGTCCCCCCCTGTTCGCTGACCCCCCCGGCATTTTAGGGTTTAGAACATTCATTGCACCACTACATTATATAACCCTAGACTCTGGTTTCTCTGAAAGAGAGCAACAAGCTATGCGAATCACGAAGTTTTATGACGAGACTTGCGCTTGCCCTACCATACATTCCAGACTTCTCACTAGACTATCACGTTAAGTAGTGATGAACAAGATATTTTCTCCCCACCTCTGGCTTCTGAGTCAAAATGCGTGGCGGTGGAAAAAAACAATCTGCACAAATCCCGTGAGGATATCCCCATTTTCTTCTATCAATCATGACTACAGTATATCCAGATGATTGATATAGATTCCTGCTCATCCCCATCATGAGCATCAATACGTCAAGGCTATCGTCTCTCCGTCATGCATCCTTTCACCCACTTCATGATAGCCTTGAGCCGTAATTTGGTAATGAGGGAAATTCGGGTAAATAGATATCACATTGAGAGTTGTAAATTTGGCCGATAACTGACTTGCAACTCATGGCAAACAAATCCAACCAACACAAAACGCCTTCAGAGGGCGTGATCATTTGGGGATAACTTAGGGGTTGTCGGGGAGAATAATTAACAATAAACAAAGAGAAATGTAAAATTTAATGGGCATCGACCTGTTCTAGAGAAGTTTTCGACCTCCAACCTCCAGACAGAGGAAGGGCTAATCATGGAAGGCTACAAGGCTCAGAAACTAGGCATCAACAAGAGCATTCACAACTATCTAACGTGCTGTTAGAACCTTACCATGATAGCAGTTGGATAAAAAAAAGTCCATCTCAGCAAGAAACCTTAACTACACTAGCTGCAGCGAAGCATTCTTCCCCCACTCTACCGTGGTTGGAGTAGCAACGAGTAGGGTGATGGAACGGGAACTTTGCGCGCACTTGGAGCCTTTTACTGCAGTGCCAGTTAAAGTTCTGATCAATGATTGAATCCGTCGTTGATCTGTGCAAAGATGTCTATCATTCTTTGTGAATCTGATCCACATGGGCGCTTTAATAACACAATTTCTACAAGCATCGCACATTCAGTTAATGCGGCGTGGATCTCATAATTGATTCTCGGCTAACTAGCAACTCGCAACAAGATCGATTTACATGAAGATCAATTCATGGTGTTGGTCTACTCTAGATCATCAGAAATAGTTACGGATGGATACAACTATTACAGTGGATAGTCTACATAATTACAGTATTTTGCTAGCACCATACCCACGGGATCTTTGGAAGAGAGGCCCACTATGGTCGCCCTACTTTTCTTTCTTTTTTTGTTAGGGCGAAAATCACAGCCTTGCTGTCTCAGTCCTGGGGTGTACAGAGTCACAGTGTGACTTGCCATCATGGGTGCCTATAGTATAATACAAGGTCTGGCAAGAAGTTATGGAAGTTATTTCAGGTTAACAAGCCAAATATATCCCTGCCCCGGTTAATGGCCCATACCTTTGTAAGCTTTCTTTACCCACTACCTTACCCTAATGTAGAACAATTAGTATAAGACGGGTTGCCATCCCACGGGAAATTAGACAACCAGAGCAAGCACAGAATTCCTCAATACAAACCATACCAGAACAGCTCTCGGATTCCTACTTCTTTACCACATCTCTCTTGTCAACCACAGATCAATCCCCGCCGCTCTCCCCAAAACTCCCAAACCTTTTACCACGACGAAAGTGTGTCGTGCTCGCGCGAATTAAACATCAGACTAGTTATCAAAACTAAAAAATCATTTCCCCGTACTAGTTCAGTCTTGTCTCAATCTCTTTATCACACTCCTCCACCTACTAACACCAACCCCTCCGCTCTTCTTGCCCTCCCTGAAGAAGCACTGGAGCATCGCTAGTTCTTGCTGGTTTATTCCTATCCCAGCCGTTTCCCAGACAGAGATCCCCCACACCGGAGGCGTAGAAAGGTTCTTGCCAGAAAGGTTCCTGCCAGAAATACGCCAGATAGCCAATTTGGATTCCCGCGCCGAAGGACCCGTTGTGCCAAATCGATCAGTGGAAGTTTGCTGCCTAGAAACCGTCCAGGAAAATGCCAGCTGGAAAAAAGAGCAGCCGCAAGGAAACCAGAGCATCGAAGTCCGGGATCAAGAAATCCGTTGGCTCACCCCGGAGAACCAGAAGTTCCACGATTGCAGCGGCAGCACTGGCCAGTATTGCACCTACCAGGACAGCAGCAAGGACAACTTTGGAAACCCCGCCGGAAACCCCGAGAGCCACACCCCCCCCTCCCTATACCCAGCACCAACAACAGCACCAGGCGCCAACGTCAAGCACGGCATCGAACAACACCAGATGCTCGGATACCATAAACTCCTCCTACACGACCTCGATCCCCCCGTCCTCAAACCCGGCTATCAAAGTGGAGGAGACGACAGAAGCGGAGGGGGCCTGCGCACGGAATGGCGCACAAAACGACGAGCGCCAGCCCACGGTAAACTGGGATTGTGTATCGTACGTAGTCTCGGACCAGAAAGTGCACACTTCCTACGAGAAACCAGAGATGGCTCCTCCGGTGGTGGACACGCGTACGGGGAAGGCTACAACCCGCGTCGCATCGTATGGCAAAATGGTTACGAAAACCGTAACGATGACAGTCACCACCACCATCGCGACCACCGAGATACTGCGCCCGGGCGAGGAGGGATACGAGGAGTCTCTGGAGCGGCAGAAGCGGCAACAGGACCAGTCGCCCGAGGAGCGGGAGAGGCAGCAGCGCAAGTATCACCAGAGCCGCCAATGGGCCAGCGGCGATCGAACCCTGCACGAGAATTTTCACTGCAAGCACCATCGTTCCGCACAGCCCGCGCGCGCAAACGTGTAAATATATCTCAATTTTTCGCATTTTCTTCTACCATGTCTTGTTCTATTTTTTCTTCCTCTTGGTCGTCTACTTTTATGTTTTCTCACTCTTCGTATTCTTGGTTGTTTGGGTTTAGAGGCGACTTGGGCTTTGGCAAGGGCGATATCAGGCGGGGCAGGCGGAGGGGGAAGAGGAAAGTTATCCGGAAGGTATCTGAATTCGCGGACTGTGACCTCCCCCGGTTCATTTGGAACCCCCCCCCCCCACCACCACTGGACTTGGATGATTCCTACAGGGTAGGGTTGAGTATTAGCCGGATGGATCTCCCCATTTAGCTATATTCGATCATCTGCGCTCCAATCCTATGGAGAGGACCATATGGAGGACCACCACCACCAGCGCCCGCCCCAGGAGGATCCTTCCCTAGGACGAGGAGGCCGTTCTACCAGTAGCATTACCACTCGGATCCGTGGGCAGCGATCTCTTTCTTTCTATTATTCCTATCATGAAGACTGCTCATGTTATTGTTTCTACTACGCTCGTTCTATTTTTTCCTTTGTTTTGTTGTTACTTTTCATTTGGAGAGGGGAAGGGAAAGGAGTTCTGCTGAATGATGAGCTTAATGGGGCGGAAGATGATGATGATGATGATGATGGGCTTGATTACTCAATCGAAATTTGTTTTTCTTTCTATATTGAACCATGCCAATCGCCCAGATCGGATTGTTACACACGGAGCGAGTTATAATAGCAAGGGGGATCAGGAGGATGAGGCAGGAAAAGGGAGGAAAGGAAGCTAAGTGGAGACGGTGAGAAAGACCGAGGAGGAATTTTTGGTGGTTCAGCACACAGTATTGTTGCATTTCTGTACACACTTAAGGCTGACGAGAAACATCCTACGCCCGTGCATGGGAATGGAAAATGTGTGTGTGTGTGTGTCTGTGTCGAAATTTCAACTTTCTTGCCTGCCTGTGGATCACAGTAGCAATGCGATATCCGTCCCCTTGTTGGGGGTTGGGGGAGGGGGGGGGGTATTGACAACCATTCCGAAACGTCTGGATAAAAATATGGAAAAAAAGAAACAAAAACAAACAGGAATGTGTGCAATACTACTCGAGTATAAATTAGGAGGAGGTTGAGAAGAGGAAAAAAGAAACAAAACAAAACAGAAATAAAAAAGGAAAAATAGAAATAAAAATTCTTTGAGCCCTGCTTTTCTTCTTCCTGCACTGTGATACCGGTATTCTCATGAACCTATGCTGGACAGAATTTTTCCCGCCTAGTTATTCGAGAATGGAGAAATAATGGATATATGCAGCCCTGGCTCTCCTATACCGATCGAAAGGTCGCGCGCGCTGTGTAACTTTAAACTTTTTGCCCTTTTTATCCGACTCCTTTCGTCCCCCGGCATCAGCTCACACAGAGTGAGAGACATCTCTGCCCCGGATTCACGGATTCAAAGGGGATCCCACATCCCAGCCTAGTCAGTCACAAACATTCCACACACGAGCCACCCACCATACACCATGCTACAACCCTGTCACTCACCGGAAAGCGAGAGACAAAGTTACCCCTACTGTACCGGTTATGAAAGAAACCCAAAACACAGGGATTCGAAATTTTGTATGGCAAATTGTCCGTGCGCATCTGAGCGCTCCATACTAGAAATTCGAACTCGGATGTATCTGGTTTCCCCACACCAGTAACTTGTAAAGGAAGGAAAAAAAGGAAAAAAAGGCGGAAAAGAAAAAAGAAGCCTGCCGGAGCTTTTTGGTCGCTATCATTTTTCTTCGCTCGCCTCCCGACAATTCGGTAGGTAGATTCTTAAACTTCCAAAAGAGCGGGATCCGAAGACTTTTTTTGCCTGCTGGGTGGGTGAACAGTGGCAGGCCGGTCGGTCGGTCGGTCGGTCGGTCGGCCGGTCGGCCATGGAACGTGAGCACCTCCGAGGGAATGGAACGTTATGGAGCCGAGCGGGGACCGGAGATATCCGAGCTATCATGCCCCCTCCATTTTTTAACCATTTACTAATGTTATTGTTGGGCGTCATGAGATAGTATTTTGAAGATGATTATGTAATACAGAGTGTGATAGATGTCGCAAACTTGGTTGTGGCTGTGAGGGAAGGAAGGAGGAGTAACAAGTACTGTATAAATCTTGTTTACCTAATAAGACATTTGACATTACCCCGTCATACAAGTACTCTGTACCACGTTGTGATATCTATTATCATACTCCTACAATATTCGTACTCTCATACAATACCGGTGGTAAGATATATCGAAGCTTCTCTTTTGCACACTGCTGCTTTAAAAAAAAAAAAAGAGCTATACGTGAGGGTAATATCGCATATTCATCGGCCGGATTCGTATGTTTCGCCTCAAAGTTGATGGATGGATGGATGGATGGATGGACACGGTAGATGGGGGATGTGCGTTTCACCAAACCGTTGAGATGCAGTCTGTTTTGTAATTTTTTTTTTTTTTTTTCTTTTCAAAACGGATGGATGCTTAATTCAACCCCCAATGATAAGAACTGGGAAACGCATAGAATAGAAAAACAGCCTTACTCCTGGGATACGGTGTTGACGCTGAATTCGGGCGTCATTCAACTTTACGGTGGTCAGTGGGGTACCGGAAAGCTCTGCTGTACTGTATGATAGTATGGATTATTTTCCAGAAGGATGTGTCATATCGTATGTGGAAGTGATGAGCGTGGCGGGAAAGTGGAAGAAAGCTGCGTTTAAAATCATTAACCTGTCGCCCTACTCTGCGGCCGTTGTCACAGGTGTCAAATATGGGTATGACAATTGCTGGGTGCAAAGAAGCAAGACCTTTACTGAAATTTTCTACGAATGAATTAAGTTCGCCACGCACACAAGAATTTAAATGCGGCGAATGCCCACCAAAGGGTATATCCATGCGAAAACACTCGCACATGGACTTCGGAGGTTGGCCGGCCGGCCGGCTTGATATTGACAAGTTACTCGAACACAGGGATTAAAAATTGTATGGCAAACTATCTGTGCGCATCTGAGCCCATACTAAATTCAAACTCAAATGTTCTGGTTCTTCATGCCAGTAACCTGTAGATCATATGTTAAGTCAGATGAGTCTTTTCGGGATCTGCGCCGCCGCCTCCACCAATGGGGAGTCTACAAGTACAATGTCATGCAAGTATTTGTCCGCCTATCTATGATGCCTGAAAATTTTTATATTGAATGGTTATCAACAAAGTCATTGTTCTCGCCAAGATGGGGGGCGTTTCTCAAGGGAAAATATTCCTGCTTCCTAACAACGCCACGTTTATTGTTTGCTTTTGCTTTTTTGGGGCGAATTTCGACCTTTCCAATTAGGAAGTTCTGGACCTTTCGGATGTTTGTCGAGAGAAATTCGGATATTACGAACCAGTCGGGAAGAGAATATAGGAGAAGGAGAGGATTGACTGTGAGGCGGGTGGGAAGGTTGAATCCAGGTTTCGAAGGAATTGTACACGACGACGGCAAACTTGATAGTCAAAACGATAGGTGTGGAGCAGACATGTAATTAGTAGTTAGTGTGGCGGGGGAGTCAGTATCGCTCGACGTCAAAGAGTTGAGACTCACACTCCACAATTTGGCTTCCTGACCAGTTGGCTGTGCGAAGTTGAAACTAAGATTCAAACCATACATAACAGGATTGCATATGCGCACCTATAAGGTTATAGATCTATGGAAACTTTGTCTAGACTCTTATAACTAGACGTTGTTGGGGGGGCGAAAACTCATAATTCTGGTCTGCTGGTCTTTGCAAGGCATACATATCTCCCGAATTCGACGAAACAAGGGTTGATCCCCTCATCATTGGCACGGGTAGAGGCGGTCCTGTGTATGATAGTTGACGTCCATAGAGTCGAACGGAAGCAACGCCAATCCATAGAAATCCACGTTATTGGGTCCGTGTGTTGAACATTGTTTGTACCTTACATCTCCCAAGTAACCTAACCGCACTGTACTGCCTTTCTCCCCCCCTAACGATGCACGGATGTTTTGAAAATAAAAACAAAATTCTCTGCCCCAAGTAATGGGCCGATTGGCTGGTCAATGGTTCAAGGCGTTTTTCCAATCTTTTTTTTTTTTTTTTCAGTTTAGATATCTGGAGCCGGGAACGAAATTGGTCATACCGATGCTGGGTTCTACTCAAGTACTAGTACATACCGCTATACCGTAGACAGGCAGTATCTAACATTTGAGACTCACGGATGGAGAAACTTACCCGTGCAGTTGCTCGTGGATTCATTGCTTCGGAAAGAGAAAGTCAGGGTCTCATGTGCATTTTGAAGTGTAATCTAGCCTTTCACTAAATCAGTCAAGTTATGGGAAATGGGTCTGATCTTGGTTGGCGCCTGAGGTTCTGAATCATGCAGCAGGATAGCTAAGATGTGCCGTTAGCCTGTCCTTTCTACCGGGCAAATGCTGGGCTATGATACTAAATTCTTTGGGATATTCCTTGCGGGGAGGTTAGATAGGGTACGCCCTGGGTTTGGGGGATAGTTGAAAATGTGAGTATAAGTGGTGCTCAGAGATTCTTGAGTCAGGGTACTATTCCTTGAATCATCCTGGTTTTCACACACTTTTAGTACAAAAGACGGAGATTTTAGCACGAAAATTCAATGATAAATAGGAAAGGCCATAAATCTCATCTGTGACCTGGCCAATAAATCTATGAAGAGGATCTGTCACAGTATTAGGGGGACCTTTAGGTTGTTTTGCCACTTGTACTTTGCACCCTGGAACAAAGGGATAGTAATGAGGTGTCAATTGTTTTAGTACAGTAGTAGTGGGTTAAAAGTAAGGGCGACTTCAACAATGTACGTTCTCAGTACGATCCCCCGATCCAGACATACAAGTAGCTGGATACACTAGTCCTTTGTCAGAGAGTTTACTCAACAAAGCATTATTAAAAGGGTTGATACCTAGAGAAACTTACTAATAAGCGTGGTACACGTATCAGTGAAATTTTCTTCCCCTCCCCCGCGGGGGTCAAATCTACGCACTTTCATTGCTCCCACGGACCTCCCATCGCGTACTGTACCTAGACTCGTATCCAAGTAGTACAATTACCGTAGTGGTTAAATTATAGTATAAACCAGTATACTATGATAAGTCAAAGTGTACTCTTACCAACATATTCCTCCAATCTTTATAGACGGGTACGATACAAAGCTTGACGAAAGAATATACCCTATATTATCGCAACAAAAAATTTTTCCCCCGCCCTGTTGGGCTTCATCCCCCAACCACCCATCATATCAAGTTCAATTATCAAGTTGTCCACACCACACCTCTACTCGTAATTGAACGACGTTTGCGAACACAACCGCTATTGCATACAAGCAAAATTTGACTCTTTTCGCACGGATCTAGGTGTCATGCAATAGCAGTCGTGTTCACAAACGTCGTTCAATAACTTCAAATACGAGTATCCCACCCTGCTGTACACACACACTTTGCAGAATCCTTGCTCCCCTCGGCTCTCGCCAAAATCCAACAACTACCGTAGCTCTCTCTCTACAAGCAAATCCCACGAGAGCCGTTGGGCACTGGCAAGAA